CCCCTGAAATAATAAATTCCTATTACAAATATACTGAATTATTTATATTGTTATATTGACCAAATAATAATTTATGGGCCAAATGAATAATAATAATTTATATTGTTAATTTAAATAATAATTAAAATTGTTAATTTGAATGTTTGAAATATGACACACGATAGGGGTGCCTCTAGTGTACGTTATCAAACGGTTACGTGGACAGACACCTGTTGAATGGGTTATATATATAGATGTGAATGGTAACAAATTGTTGTGGTTATTCATTTCTTGAAAAGAAGTTATAAAAATCCAGCAACATTTAAAACTGTGTGTATGGTGTCATCTGTTATAACAAAAACTTTTTGTATTTTTAATTATTATAGAATGGCAAAAAGCTTAATTTTGAGGGTAAGGATGGGATTTATTAAAAAAAAATTATAAATGCTATTAATGAGTAAAATCATCATTAAGTTGGATTCTACTTGAGATATGACACACAACTCCCTTTAATCAAAATTTAATATCATCAATCCTGCTAATAAACTGCAAAATTTCAACAAAATGCACAGGAATTATTAAGCTTCAAACTAACATCCATACATACAGAAAAAACTTCCAAATTTTTTGCATTTCTTGATGTTTCAAGGTTCTGAGTCCAAAAATGTAAAGATCTTGTGTGGTAATTTTTTGCCGAATTGCCATACATTTCCTCTGTTATATGTAATAGAGATGGGAGAGTAAAAATAGGAACTATTTTTATTTTCCTTCTTTCAGTTATATTGATGTATACTGAGTTCTCAAATTATATGAGTGTTACATTCTAGGTAAGTGTCATGTGTTTTAAATTTTGCATAATATGAAGAANCATTAAGTTGGATTCTACTTGAGATATGACACACAACTCCCTTTAATCAAAATTTAATATCATCAATCCTGCTAATAAACTGCAAAATTTCAACAATATGCACAGGAATTATTAAGCTTCAAAGAGGGTGAACAAAATCATGCCAAACACTAACATCCATACATACAGAAAAAACTTCCAAATTTTTTGCATTTCATGATGTTTCAAGGTTCTGAATCCAAAAATGTAAAGATCTTGGGTGGTAATTTTTTGCCCAATTGCCATATGTTTCCTCTGTTATATGTAATAGAGATGGGAGAGTAAAAATAGGAACTATTTTTATTTTCCTTCTTTCAGTTATATTGATGTATACTGAGTTCTCAAATTATATGAGTGTTACATTCTAGGTAAGTGTCATGTGTTTTAAATTTTGCATAATATGAAGAAAATTTTCCATTAAAACAATGGTAAATGCCATAATTTAATTGTGTTCTGCATGCAAGTATTTTAATAATGCTAAAGATGTGAATATGCCGCCTTAATATAATTTTAATACTTCAATATAAAACAAGCAATATGAATAAAATGAAAACAGTTTGTACAGATAAATTGCAATTTATCTGTTTATTGAAAATCTAGTTGTAAAAAACAGAAAAAAGAAAATTATTAAATTTGATGTAGCTTTACTTTAATAGTGGTATGTTTAAAAGTTTGCTTGTAAATTATGAATAAAAGCTGATTAACCTGTCCCGTGTTATTCCTGAAATATCTCGTGCAGTGACCTTATGACCTTGACTGTTGGACCGAGATATCTTGTTTCTGCATCGGGACATTTTTTATACTAGATGTTGTAAGTCGGCATAATTTTTATATTAAAATTAATTTCTGAAATATAATTTTTTTTGTTTTTACATTTTTCAATATATTTATTTTATATGTGTATAATAAAAAAATAATTTTTAGCAATACAATAGCCATGATTATTATTTTAAAAAAAATTTTCATTAGGCTTAATATCGACAAAAATTTAACCGTGAAGAGACACGCAATGGAGAAAAATTTTAACATGGAATAGTGTACGGAAAGTTTTGTGTCATCTTGTTGGTACCTTCTGGATCATACCTGAAGCCATTACTCCAATCTATGGGGCATGATGCTATTGCAAGGGGCATGCAGCTTTTACCAAATTATCATTTTTTAATACAGACAAACAAACAGAAAGTTAAATTGATGAAAAAATGAATCAGCAAAACAGTTATGCCTAATTCACAACCTCATCCAAATAACTCTGGTACAAATGATAAAAATCTGCTCACATTCTTGCTGAAATGTCTCAGCAAGAGTCAAGCCCTGTGAACAATATACTTTATTTAAAAAGGTATATTGTTTTGTAGGCCATTAAATAAATTATAAGGACAGTATCTATGAAATTAGATTGTTATGAAAATTGAGGGGGTCATAACAATTTTCTTCTGAAAGAGGATGGTGGTACATTAAGTTTGGAAACCACTGCATTACTCCAAGAGAATACTTTCCTTAATCAGCTTTTATTCAGAAGAATTTAACTGATCTTTCAGACATTCATTTTAATGAATTTTCTACTGGTCAATGGCACCTAAATGATATGATGCAGATATATCTTGCCTTACATTGGTAATTTGTTTTAGGAGAGGCAACTTAAGTCAAATTTACCTGTCTCCGAATTTACTTGTCACTAGGCTAAACCACAAATAACCATTCCCAGTTCTGTATTTTATTTATAAATGCATTTTTAATAATATATGGTTAATAANTTTTAAAAAAAATTTTTATTAGGCTTAATATCGACAAAAATTTAACCGTGAAGAGACACACAATGGAGAAAAATTTCAACATGGGATAGTGTAAGGAAAGTTTTGTGTCATCTTGTTAGGTACCTTCTGGCTCATACCTGAAGCCATTACTCCAATATATGGGGCATGATGCTATTGCAAGGGGCATGCAGCTTTTACCAAATTATCATTTTTTAATACAGACAAACAAACAGAAAGTTAAATTGATGAAAAATTGAATCATCAAAACAGTTATGCCTAATTCACAACCTCATCCAAATAACTCTGGTACAAATGATAAAAATCCTCTCACACTCTTGCTGAAATGTCTCAGCAAGAGTCAAGCCCTGTGAACAATATACTTTATTTAATAAGGTATATTGTTTTTTAGGCCATTAAATAAATTATAAGGACAGTATGTATGAAATTAGATTGTTATGAAAATTGAGGAGTCATAACAATTTTTTTCTGAAAGAGGATGGTGGTATATTAAGTTTGGAAACCACTGCATTACTCCAAGAGAATACTTTCCTTAATCAGCTTTTATTCAGAAGAATTTAACTGCTCTTTCAGACTTTCATTTTAATGAATTTTCTACTGGTCAATGGCACCTAAATGATATGATGCAGATATATCTTGCCTTACATTGGTAATTTGTTCTAGGAGAGGCAACTTAAGTCAAATTTACCTGTCTCCGAATTTACTTGTCACTAGGCTAAACCACAAATAACCATTCCCAGTTCTGTATTTTATTTATAAATGCATTTTTAATAATATATGGTTATTAATAAGAATCTATTTTAAGCTTACAAACAAATAAATTTTAGTTTTTAATATAGTATAGAAAAAAAAATCTAAATTTACGAATACATGTACACAAACTTGTAAATATACATGTTTACAGTTTGGCAAGGTTTACAGTACATTACGGACTCTTTATTTGTGAATGTGGTTTGCTCTAAGACATTATAAAATAAAATGATTTTGTAAGGTTAAATAACATATACAGTTATTAAAATTATTTTGCGATAGTAGAAAATAAATTAATTTTTCGTTAAATTTACCAATATCGAGTTGTGCTGACATTGATGCCAAACAGTAGATATTGGAACTACTGTGGAAAATGCCAATAATTGAGTCTTAAAGACAGCTAAATAAGATGACAACCAGATGTTTTCATATTTTGTTCTATAGGATTTATGATGATCATATTAACATTTACTGTAAATGTGTATATTTTAATATGATTTTTGTGCTTTTAATGCTTTTCTAGTGATATTACGACTTCAATATTTGTGGCAGACAGATGTAAAGTTGAATAAAATGATTTAAACTTGATTTTTATTTTTCCATATATTTTTTTTTGACAAACAATGTATAATTGAGAATGACTTAACTCGAAACGACTTAATCCGATTTATGCCTGTATATGTAAACATTGTTATTAACATAACCATTTTGTGTGTGTGAAATTTTGAATTGTGAACATATTTTGAACAATGTGTGTTGGTTTTTCTATTATGTTATTTTAAAATTGCATATTTCAAACATGCATATTTGAGAATTTAAAGTGTGAGAAGAATTTATTTAGAAGATTAAATGAAAATAAGTGACATTATAAGGACTTACATTTGTTTGTAAGAAGTGTAGCAGTAGATTATAACCACTATATTGATTTGACAGATAGCAGTCAATTACAGTCAAGGTTTTTTGCTGTAGAAGACGAAAGTAAACATTACCATTTGTCATAGATAATATGATTCTTTTAATAATTTATAGGACTTGATAGTTCTAGAAATCATTAAGCATAGGCATTAGATAATCTAAATATCAGTAATTTTCTATTATCGTTTAGAATTCAATGAAGAATTAGTTGAACTTGAATTATAATAGTATCAAGAACTTATAGAAATGGTTCATAAATTTAGTTATGGTATTTAGTTTAGATAAGGCCAGACAACATTTTTAAATGGTAGTCCAGATAAAATGTCTAAGGCACATGGTATCAATTTGTTTTTCTTTTTTAGCTGTCCATTTATAGGATTATTAAAATTGCATATATTGAAAAAACTGTTATTAACAGTTTTGTGTTAATTATACTAATATTTGTACAGATTCATATATATAATTGATTTTATTAATAATAAGAAATGAAATACAAATTGAAGATATTTTTTAAATTAAAAAAGTTTTAAGGCATGTGCTTTAAATTGGGCCTTACCTATACTGATTTTAACTCAGAAGACAGCTTTTTGTTAGAATTGTGTGTTTTGGACAGGAAACCTAACTGGCTTCTTTTCAGAATAAAAAGCAATTGACAATATTATTACTAAAATTATATAAAAATATATAGGTTTACTTAATTTTATTATTATTTTTAAGCAGTAATAATTTTAATTTTCTGATTTTTTAAATCTTATATTCCTACAGATGTCATTGCAACAAATTAGTCTTGAACTGCAAAAGAACTATGCAGATCAATTGGAAAATGATGCTGCTCTTCAGAAGGTAGTATCCTCTTTAATCATGTAAATTTGCTTTAACAAGATTTTTCATTATTATGGTTGAAATTTATTTTTAACAGATGATTGAAGAGAGATCAAAATTGCCTGTTTGGGCAAGCCAAGATGAAATTTTAAATGCAGTTAAACATAATCGTGTAGTTATTATTAGAGGAGCTACAGGTTGTGGAAAAACCACCCAGGTAACTAAATTGATACATTGTAGTAATAATAATTCTGATTTTTATCTTTATCTTGGTTTAATTTAGATATTATTGCCATTGAAATGATTAAATCACTGAATACTTATATATCAATGCTAAAACTAAATAGAATTGAAAGAACTAAAAAAAAAAATCTTTTTGAAAAGATTTATTACATTAAATATATTTGTTTAGATTTAATCAAATAAATTAAATAAATATTTATTCATTTACTTATTGTGGAAATATACAGTAAATTTACTGTATATTTTCACAGATAAGACGATAGTTGAATTATAAAAAAAGATCCCCAAAATCCGGGGTCATCTTATAGGACAGATACAAAAAAATTAGATTGAAATTTATATAAATTAAAACCATTATAAAAACAGACAAATCATAATTATTTACTAGTAGAGAGTAGGGTATGTCCACAAAATAGAATATTCAAGATCATTAGCCAAATGCCTGAATCAGTGTGAATGTTTGCAACAATTGCAAAGCAGTGCTGCCAGATGCAAAAAAATAAAATTTGTTCATTTGAAAAATTACAAAGAGTACATAATTCCATGTACACTATACAGCATTATTATCCGGATGATGATTGCTGATATAAACTAAATTCATAGGCCATTGATAGTTTGGAGGTCATCTTATAGGACATATATATGCTAAAACTATAAAACTTTGTTGAAAATTTATACTTTGTCTTATTTGCGGAAATATACAGTATTTCTGCAAATAAGACAAAATTTAATTTATTTTTGGTTTGTGAGTTTATTGAAGATGATGTTTTCAAAAGCAAAATTCTTATAAAATAATCTGATTTGAACTTCTACTGATGTAAAATTTAATCTGGATGAATGTTTACGGAATCTTACATTTTCAACTTCTGTGTCTGGGTAGATCTGTAGATTTGAGCAAAAGTTTGAACTGAATTGATAAAATAGAACATTAGGTGCTAAATTATATATAATTTGAATAGCACAGCACACATTCTTTGTAAATTTTAGCATTTTAAGTTACTAAAATTTTATGATAAGTAAACAAATGAGTAAATACAATGTTAAAGAAGCTGGTTTTAATGTGGTTTGTTAACATACATAGTTTTTTTAGCATGTTAACCATTTGACTCAATAATCCAATTTGAACTGCATTTGATACATATTAATAGCATGTAACAAATTTAAATTTGTATATTCTATTTTTGATAACTTAACTATTTTACGATAGAACTCTGATTATTTGCAGAAACTAACACTACCTCAGATAAAATGGGTGGCCACGGCCATTTAGGATTAAAAGTTACAAATATAAAAGATCTTGGTATCACCTTTAAACCTCTTTTTTTTACATCTTAATGAGTTTTATCAAATATGAGGAGAACAATTTTTATATCATTTATTATAAAGCTAATATGTACAATAAGAATAAAAATGTGTTTTATTGTATTAATAGTTGCATTTTAATATGAACAGTTTGACTCAAAAAAGTTAATTAATAAAATGTAACAGAAATAAATCATTTGTAATACATATTATTGTTTTAATACATATGTACAGTATAAGAATTACAGTACAAGAAAAGTTGTTATAGACTCATCTTGGATAATGCAGAATCTCTTGATTGGAATTCTGCTGTAATTCTAAATTTTGAGTATGATTCTGTAGATAGTGTTCTTTATGAACTAAAGTTGATGATGGCTACAAAAAAGCTCAAAACATCTACTTTATTTTGTAACTATGATAGATAGGCTTACCATAATATTTTTTTCTCAAACTGGGACAATTTTGAGAAAATATTCGCAACAGAAAGTTAAGCCTACTAGGATAAGTACCTATGATTGAAAACACTAAATAAAGTAGTTGTTAACAAAACAACGAGTTAAAAGCAATTTTTAATAACTGAACTATCTTATTATTAAGAAGTTATTAATATTTATCACTAATGTGAACTTTTTTAAAAATTCTTTGTCACTTAAATTGATACATTTAAAATATGACAATACATTTGAGGAAGTTCCTATTTCTTGCCTTATGTTTCGTATGTTTCAAGTGATTTTTAATGTTTGATGCCCATCGTGAGTTACTGAAAATTCTGAAAAGTACAGTTCATATTTCACTTCGTCAATATGATCACAGACTTTTTCAATCATCAGTAAACACATGGTTTCTTTTTGGCACTTTAGAGATTAAATGAATTTAATATACAAATAATCGCAAATGCCGACCAGCAATTTGAACTCTAATTGAAACAAAATATCTAAAAAAATGAAATAAAAATATCTGGATTTCATAGGCTATGTGCTAATATAAATTCTGTGAAGAAATATATGAATGACAAAATAAAACATCTAAATTCATTAGGTCATATGCTATAAATTTTGGAGAAAAATATCTAGATGACATTAAAAATACTTAGATCTAGATACAAAATACAGTGGTACCTCGGTATACATCTGCCTTAGAATACGTCCTGTTTGGACGAAACAAATTTTGCTCGGTATACGACTTTTGTTCGGTATACGACATAATTCAATTATACGTGCCATCAATGAACAAGTAGCACTATCGGTGTACTAGACCAGACTAGACGTTCGCAGTGCAACGGTTTATAACTTTGTTAAATTTCTTCTGATTTTAATTTGTAAGTAAAATTTTATTATTTTTATTAATCACGAATCACAAAAAGGCAAATGAAAAGTGAAAGAAAACTAAAAAAATGACTAGAATTACAATGGAACTGATGAAAGAGATTGTTGAGAAATACGAAGGTGGCACGCGTGTTCGAGATTTTAACTGTTGTTTACCGTATTCCGAGAACGACGATATGGACAATCGCGAAAAATAAAGACAT